TGAAACTGCCTTTTGAGGCAGGTTCATCAGCGCCCAGCTCAGTGAGTTGGGTTGAACTGTGAGTTGAACTCACACGATGTGCACCAACGATGCACAGGGGCCTCTAGGCTAGAGTCAGGCACAGAGGCTCTAGCGACTAGGAACCGTTGCCGGAACAAAAGTCAGTAAGGTCAGGTGGATGAGTACTAAGTTAGTACTACTAACACTTCGTAATCGCCCGATAAACGTAGCCTAAAGTGCCCAAGACTTGCATTCGATCTCATTCAAAGAGATCTTCATTGTAGGCTACAATTTGTAGATGACTCATTTAGCTGGTAATCTTACGGAATAACTCATAACTCACGCAATAACTATGATGAGTTAATCTGTAAGATTCCTAGCCTAACAGCAAGATGAATGACAGCAGTCACCTCTGCTTGAGAATCTGCAGCACAGAGGTTGAGGTTATATATACCCTCCAGCATGGTGGAACAGGAATCGAGATAATAGCAGTAACTCATCAATTGGTAACTCAACATCAGGTAGACTCCCTCTGCAATGCGAGGATGCCTCGACCTTTCAACTCTGGGCATCTACTTCCGGTAATGCACACCATTAGTTTTCGCATGCCAAATCCAGATCTGTCTATTACATATGAGCCATTAATCAGTAGCAGAATCAATCTCATTCAACTATCATCCCAGTCTCGTTTTCTCAAGCCCATTGAACAAATCTCACTATCATCCAATCAGAGTCTCACGAACCTCTCGGATTCGGTCTGAACGCGCTTTGTTCTAAGCATATATTCACATTAGCCTGCACCCGATGCTCATACCACTAATTTCCATTGACAATCACAACATGTGAGTTATCAACTCGAAACGACCAAGCGTGACGCTTGAAGCGTCGTTACAATCTGGAAGATAGAAAGACTGATACTCCCCGGAGGAGTCCTTTCAAAGGACTTCCGAATATTGAAAACTCTCCAGCTCTGGAAAGTAGGTTGCTCCGAAATAGCTCCTTCGAGTGACCAGCTTTCAGTTCTCATGGAAGAACAATCCTGTGGTCGGGCCCCAACTGGTAGTTATACTGTTCCTCTTGGGCTCAATAGTTCTATATGTGTATAACAAGGGTTCGTCAAAATCTTTAATGGTAATTTTAGAACTCTTACATGCGTTGATCTGGTTCGCGAGGTCCGTCCCAGCATAAGAGATAGTGAACTTGTAATTCATCATGCCTACATGGATTAGCTGCGAATATTTCACACCGCTCACAGAAATGGCACAGCCATAGAGGTTGACATGGATGTTCAGGATGTAGTCGGGATAGAAGGTGAGTTTACCAGACACATCGCCATCGGGATCGTCGTAGTACTCTCCCATGGGTGGGGGAACCGCCGACAGCGATGGAACCACAATGCTTCCGCAGAAGGACGCGAAGAGGATGAAAGCTGACTGCTTCATAGCGGTGGAGGACAACCGAACTGAGAGAAGGTTACATACAAACTGGGAAGTTAGCTGTTTGGATAGACATGGGAATGTATGCCAGCTCAGTGCGTACGCATGCTCAAGTCCCCGACGGAAAAATGTTCACGCTGAAAACCTTCCAAGAGTCCGTTAGAGACACCTAAACTTTGAGCAGGAGAGAGTGGTGCGCCGACAGTGCACCGATGGATCACTCAGGAAAGGAGGACGGAGGGCGAGCGAGCGAAGTCCATCGCCCTCACTCGCCTGAGCGGGAGGATGGGTCAAGACTACTATACCTTTACGGTCGTAAAAGGCCCCAGCGGCGCCGATTCTTAGAATCAGCGCGTGATCTGCGAGCCTTATTTGTTCGGGCCTTAGATTTCTATCCTCACGGCATCGTGTAACGATAATCGTGTACACCATCATAGAAGGTATTATTGTCTGTTATTACCACAGCTTATTTCTGTCTTATTTGCTTTTCGTCTAGCTAATTTACCCGGAAAGGGTGACAACATCATCAGGTTGCAGTAATTTTTTGTGCTCTGAAGTGCCGCACAAGTCTGTGTGAAAGTTGGCCTGCAGCACGAAACCCGAAGCTAGCGGGGCCCGCGTTGTTGGCGCTGCGCTACCGCGATGTGATCGAAGTGTGAAGGTACCAAAACCGTCACACATCTCCCGGGTCGGGAGGGTTGGGAGAGAGGGAACAGAAAGTTCCTTAGCTGTACCACATTAACCTACACCGCCGCATATTGGCACGCCACGGAGTTTTGTTGTGGGAACAGAGTTATATACGTCTGACATGGTAGATTATACGAGTCACAAGTGAAACGGTCATCAATAGCCTTAACCAGGCAAACAAATAAACAGAGCCCGCAGAGAGACGGCCGGAACAATGGTACGTAGTATTAGCTGTACTACAGTGCGAAAGTTAAGGAGTTCCACCATCAGCCACGATGCCGTTGGAAGACTCTCCCGCTCTCTTGGAGCACGACTCGGCTGACTTCGTCCTTTCTAAGGTTCAAGCAGAATTCCGAAACGCACTCGCTCAATGTCTCCGCCTCCTGTGCTTACCGTCAGCGACTAACTTATCTAATTGAATACCTGATGGCTTTATCCCGCCGCTCTTCTGGCATCATTCAAGAGTGCACAGTTCTCCACTAGATGGAGCGTGCTGTCGGCCGGATTACCACATGGACAAGTGGGGGATGGCCTCAGCCGTTGTAGATAGCGCAGATGCGGCGTCAGTAACTGTCCGTTCACGAGTGCCATGAGCGCTGGCGATGTCTCGTATCTCGCAAACTTCGAAGCTGCTGAGAAGGTACTGAATACAGAACCGTTCAAGCGCTGTGTTCTACACCGCATGGGGAAAACTCGCAGGTAGCAATTTGAGTCCGCCCAAGACCTCTGGGGAAGAATGGTGTACTCTAGCTTCAGTGAAGTTACTCCACTCTGAGGTCACCCAGTGACTAAAAGTTTTAGTCTAAAACGAGGTGGCAATCCCTTCTGGACAACTCTTATGTTCTTGCAACGTCCCGTGTTGGCCAGGGGTTTCGATATGTGCTGATATGCAATCCTGTGGAGATTCCCGATCATTTCATAGCACACGGACTGTCCCAATGTTGCCTTACCTTGGATCTAGGAGCCAACCTCCTCCCACTCTCATCCATTCCAGTGTATACACCTCTCTACAGTTGAGAATTCACTTTTGAGGCAACAATACTAGGCATAAAATGAAAATGGTACTATCACGCAATCAATGATATATATAAGATAACAACCGCCTATCGCGGCGGTGAAACATCAGAAGAGGAAGACGATGATGAGGAGACTAAGCTGCACTCGACGACTTCAACTCGATCATCGACCTTTCGACCATACAAAATAAACGTAGCACTCATAGAGGTATCTTACCGGAGGCTTAGATGAGGGTGGAGGCCACGTGGTACTCTCAACTACAACTGTACGTTCATTCACCTTGTCTACACCTAGACAGTACTACACCAACTAGACAATGTCCACTTAGCCGTACCATCCATCGTTGCATCAGTAACGCCTTTCCCATCATAGTCAGTTTTCTGGGATCTCAGTCCATCAGGATCTTCTTCCAATGATACCTATTGCTGAATCAATGCAGTTATGGTCGTTGAACAAAGTAACTCTTTAAGTAAAATCTATTATCACCGGTAATTTTCACGATTTGCTATTGGGTTCGTCACCATCATTTAAGCGAATCAGCCCACTGTCGTTTACCTTTGATTGATGGGGTGACAGCTGCTCATCTTCGTCCATCATTTCATCCTCTTCTTCCTCATCCTCTCCAAGCGATGAGATCTCCTTCTTCGTCGGATCGTTGGAAGGCGGGGATTTCGAACGGGTTCGTTGCGTGAGAAATACTACGGAAAGGTACCATGATTTGTCTAATTCCGTGCGGTGCCGAAACCCTAGCGCTCGTCCTATCAAGACTACCTATTGCATCATCGCGTGCCGCTTGAACATTGCCATCGTATTTTTTGCGCGGATTGAACGACTTGGTCCGCAACGAACCGGTGGTTTCATCTTTCCAACTACAGCAAGAATTGTAACAATCATGCTGGTGCCATACCATAACTCTCCCAATTAATATCACACTATAAGAAGTACCTCGCTATCCACGCTCTATGCCTTTTTTTCCACTGCACTCGACCAACTCCACTACTGAACGCCCCAGCAGCTCTCGCCTCTTTTTCTTCCTGCAATCGGTGCGTGTCAATTGCTGCTGGTGATCCCTCAACACTGGCAACCTACTCAACCAATCAACGTCACCACGCCACAAAAATACCCGACCGGTGGAATGGAGCTTTCCGTCTTTCGAAAGTCCCCTCCTTCAGCAATGGTCTTCCTCTTCTTTGGCCGGTTATTGTTCACCGGTGTTCGCGACCGAGCAGCTGATGATCGTTTCCGCAGCCTCTGGACCTCATCCGAAACCTCCGACTCGCTGCCAGCGCTCATTTCCGAGTCGCTCGAGTCGATGGATGCCCCCAATGATTGCTGAACTTATGATACGCATTAGAACCTAACCCAAAACATACCATGTCCCGCAATAACCGCCTCATTTTCCGTTTTTTCATTTTGTATCGCCGTTCACGTCTAGCCAAATCCGCCTTTCTCCGTTCGAGCTCAGCCTTCTGCTTTGATAAGTCTTCCTGTATAGGAAGAATCTCCCATTTTAGATTGGCATGTACTACCTTCTGGCTATCAATCGTCTGCTGAGCCGTTTGGAGGAACTTCGCCGATTCTCTTACTGATCTTGAGACAATAACATCGAATGGCATCACCTAAAACACGAAGATGTGCCATTCACGTTACGACTCCGTTCGCAACTAATTCAATGGAATTATATAACACATTATAGTATATAGCTATTAGTACCATATTATTCCTCACTGGATTCAGAGAATCCATACATAGATTTTAATGATGGATTCGAGAATGGATTCGCCAACAGAATGACTATGAATAGAATTTGTTACAATGTAGTGCTATGTCGACTTCCAATACCACTCCAATCGTAACGCATACCTGATCCCCAGCGACGATCCGACTGCCGCGCTGTTGCTGCTGAGTGGCCTCTTCCCGGTCGGCAGGCGCAGGGTTCGGTGACATCGTCTTCGAGGAAGGTTTTGCCGTGAGTGTGGCTCGAACTCTACCAATTGAAATACGCCAATCCTCAAAAGTGCCCCGATTAAAACTATAACCCAACGTATTGGATGCAACGATCACTACAGCGTCGCTTCAACACACCTTTACACCGAGAATGAGACCTCGCACGAGATATTTTTTGTGCGTGCGTACATCCTTCAAATGTCACTCATTTTTTGCTAATCGCATCGGGTGGTATGAATTGCCAATTCAATTGGCGTACAACGACACACATAGATAGATCGCAATACTAAGCACAATACATACATATGGTAAACTACGCCTCTCCATGATCTACATGTTCGACCGAATCGTTAACTCCGTTTCCCGACAAGCCTTATGATGATCCTATACACACATCGCATTACCAAAGACTTGCTACACATGGCTTACACGATAATCTGATCGAGAGAACATTATCAACGGCCAAGTCTCATTAACAGATTGAGCATAACCTGCGCCAGGTTACCTGCCTCACTACAATCAATTTCTTATGCCGGGGCCGCTATGCCACTCCAGGATCTGCCTTAATACGATCAATTTGTGAGGCCGGGGCCGCTATGCCACTCCAGGATCTGCCTTAATACGATCAATTTGTGAGGCCGGGGCCGCTATGCCACTCCAGGATCTGCCTTAATACGATCAATTTGTGAGGCCGGGGCCGCTATGCCACTCCAGGATCTGCCTTAATACAATCAATTTGTGAGGCCGGGGCCGCTATGCCACTCCAGGATCTGCCTTAATCCGATCAATTTGTGAGGCCGAGGCCGCTATGCCACTCCAGGATCTGCCTTAATACGATCAATTTGTGAGGCCGGGGCCGCTATGCCAGTCCAGAATCTGCCTTAATACGATCAATTTGTGAGGCCGGGGCCGCTATGCCACTCCAGGATCTGCCTTAATACGATCAATTTGTGAGGCCGGGGCCGCTATGCCACTCCAGGATCTGCCTTAATACAATCAATTTGTGAGGCCGGGGCCGCTATGCCACTCCAGGATCTGCCTTAATCCGATCAATTTGTGAGGCCGAGGCCGCTATGCCACTCCAGGATCTGCCTTAATACGATCAATTTGTGAGGCCGGGGCCGCTATGCCAGTCCAGAATCTGCCTTAATACGATCAATTTGTGAGGCCGGGGCCGCTATGCCACTCCAGAATCTGCCTTAATACGATCAATTTGTGAGGCCGGGGCCGCTATGCCAGTCCAGAATCTGCCTTAATACGATCAATTTGTGAGGCCGGGGCCGCTATGCCAGTCCAGAATCTGCCTTAATACGATCAATTTGTGAGGCCGGGGCCGCTATGCCACCTAAGACATGCTTTAACATTGGTGTCCGTTCCCATTGCAGAAGGTAGCCATAACGGCTATCCACCATGCACATGACTCAAGCAATGGGGTAAGGTATGCGATAATATACAAACTGTAAGGAAAACATCATCACCTATCGTCAATAATATTGCTTACATATACGCATGTCTCGCAAATCTTAAAGACCAAGATACAATCTGGTGAGCGGAAGGACAACAGTCCTGTAGTGTGAGTGAAATGTCGCGCAAGGAGGGGTGCACCCTTGAAAGACATATGACACAAGTGAAGTGCGCGCGCCCGTAAACGGTTTTTGAGTGTTGCAAAGCGGGAACCGAAGGTGAAACAAACCTTGAGTTGGACCATACAGGTCTACAACGTGGATTGAGTACGGCTGTGAGGCCGAGCTCAACCACGAGAGTCGAGGGGTTCCTCGACGGGCCAGAAAAAAATTTTTTTTTTATTCCCTTGAATATGGCGATGCCTTCATACTGATCCCACCAACATTTGGAGAACCGGACAGGTATGTCCGGCTTCCATCTTAGGTGGGCCCTTCGCGCAGCTACGTGGGGGTCACGAGATCAATTGAAGGCATTGGTAGCACCTGATGTGGTCGGACCGTGTGTGGCCCAAACAGTTTGGGTCATTACGGTTGAAAATACCGACGGGCCGACCAATCACGGTGCTACCTCCCGCGACCCCGTATTCGATGGGATTTCACGATGCGGGACACACGTTGCAATTTCGTGGCGCGTGACGTTTTGTAAAACATGATCGAAGAACATAAGCATCTCGTAATGGCAGCCAGAAAAGATTAAAGCTGAAAAGTCCAGCTTGATCGTTAAGCTGTGGACATGTCGCCAAAGTAAGTTATGAACTTTGTTGACTCTTTCTGTTGATGTCCTATCCCAAATCGCCGCCTTCAATCTCTTTGTTCAACCTCACAACAGCGTTGGTCACCATCGTGGCTGTCGGTATTTCTGTCATACCTATGTATGCCCCACCAACCTCTGACCCCTGGTATTTGCCGTTGTTGGTAAGAAACCTCACATTATTCTCACCATTACATTTCCCTTTCAGCTAGCTGGTCCCAGTGTAGCATTAATTGCATTCCTAGATCTACAGCTTTATACCCTGATGGCCATCATCACAACCGTGAGTGTTTGGCTAGGTTTAGGTGCTGGTATGTTGGTCCACTATATATACAATTCCGCCAGTGGTGGTAATTACAGTCGAGTATGGGCCGCCTTTGTCCTCTATCCATACACCATTCTACCAGCACTAGGGATGCCAGCAGCCAAGTGCAAGCTCAGTGATTTCACTCTTGCTAGTTTCTCAACAGCTTTCACTTACATCCCTATTGGTTTCTACCTTGTAGAGCCGTATACTGAGACATGGATCACCGGAGTGAGTGTCACTTTGGGTGCACTTAGCCCATGTGCAGTCATGTTGGTCTTGTCTCTGTGTAATCTAACACCATCGCCCGGTATATCTATCACACATAAACTACCTTTCGCGGCCGCTGACTTATTCGATTTACTCACGGGTTATTTCATCTCTGCTCGAGATCATCGCAATGCAATCAATGCAGAGTCTGCTGACTTCATTAAGGTGTGTGGTGCTGCAGCTGGGAAGAGGATACCACCACGGCTGAGCGCGATATTCTGGAATATGGCCGGCGAGCTTCTATCCCTCAGGGACTGCCTTCTGTTCGAGGATCTCCAGCCCGGAATTGTCGCTTATGTTTGGAAGCCCCTAGCTGCCGACTTCTCTATACTACGGTCTGAGGTTGGTATTGTTCTACGTAAAACTGCCAGAGGAGTGCCTGAGGAAGCCAATCGGGACCTCCCAGAGAGAATAGCTCATTGTGAGGAGCTCATGGCCAATGTTATCTCAGATGTGAGCGCAAAGGCTGCTGATTCTTCGATATCATCACCCAGTACGGCAGCAATAGTGCAGTTCTACTATGCTGTTGGCTCTATTCTGTACATCTCTGGTTTGGCAGAGGATTATCGGTTAGCTGCTGTGGCTCAGAATAAGGAGGAAGAAAGGATGAGGAAAGAGAAGAAAGAGGTGATGGCAGCCGGGTTTGGTTAGGGTGGGAGCAGATATCAGATGATGAGATCATCGGAGATCTTTCTGACCGTGCCATTGGAGTTAGGTAGAGAAAATAGCATTAAGTTGAACGCTTGTCACCAATCTAGGGATAATCCACAAGCTAGGAATTCGTGGTAGAGTTGGTAATATTGTCATCAATTAAGTGAATCATCCAGAGAGATCATCCCACACGCCATACTGCAATTATCGTCCCCATGAATACTCGTGTGTAGTTACTCGTTACTCAACGTATCTTCTCAAATGTACCATTATCGATGTGGAGAGGTATGGTAGCATGGTTCAAGAAACCATTCTTTTATGATATCAAAAAGAAGTCGGACATATGGCGGAGGTTTATCTTCCCTTTAAGATTCAGCCTCACACTATTTGCTGTCGCTATCTCGATGATCGTATGGGGTATGTACAGCGAGACCGTCCGTCTGCACGGTTTCTGGGCTGTCATACCGGTTTATGTTAGCTTCCTTCCAACGGCTGGTGCATCTCTCCTTAAAGGTACACGAAGGATATGTGGTACTCTCTTGGGCGGTATTGCCTCTGTTATCTGCATCTTCGCTAATCCTGGCAACAAAGCTGCTTTCTTCTGTGAGATGATATTGGTGGTATTTATGGGTAGGTTGGCTCAATGTGATACTCGTGTTGGTTATGCAGGGTACGTATTCTCCCTTACGTGGTTTATGGTCGGCTTTAGTTCTATTCTCACGCCCGGGGAGACACAGACGCAAATGCTCCTGACTGCACTCTGGCGATTTATTTTCACAACCTGCGGAGTTCTCATAACATCATTCTCGAGTTGCTTCATATTCCCAGAATTCGCTGCCTCTAAGTTGGATCGAGCATCGGCGAGAATGCTCGAGAAGGTCGCCGACAGGGTACTCTCGGCTCTTGATGTCTTCCATGGTCAACTCAAGGCACTTAGCGAGGGTAATGATTCCTCTGCTGACGACGATCAGACAGTTACTTCTACTATCATCTCCGATGACCGGGAAGCTTTTGGTGTCGAAGATTTCCAGTCGATGGCTGAGCGATCATCACTCTTGGATGACGCCAAGATGGAGGCGATTGTATTTGGGAAGATATTGCTCATTCATGACGTGACGAAGAAAGTAATAGATAATCAATTGTTATTGAACCAAGTTTCAAGAGACGGTCTAGTGCTGTATAGCTCTCTAATACTGTCATCTATGCATTTACGGGATCCATTGGCCTCTCGGACTCTCTCTCCTCTACTTGATAGTATTCGACAATTATCCAAGGCCATCAAAACCTCGGCGGATAAGATTGTCAGTTGCCTTTATGATAGTGGCACTACACCAAGAATGCTCGAGCATCTTCCGGATGATGTTCATGTCAAACTTCAACAATGTAATGATAATCTCGGAGCCTTCCGCCGAGAGTGGATCCAAGATATTATGACGGGTGGTAAAAAATTACAGGGTATGTATGGTTCCAATTTAGTACGATTCTATCACACTGTCTTTGCGTTGGCTATGTTTGGTGAACGATGGAATACACTGGAGAGCCGTTTGCATGATCGTCATGCACCAGTGGAACTCGTCGATGCTCACCAACAGGGTGATCGAGGAACACTCGAGAGTTTGCGTTCTCGATCTGATGTTATGACAACAACACAGAATTGATTTTTTTCTGACGTCGCTGGCGAATACTTGACTGTTTCCGGAATGCGAGCATTTTGTTCAAGTGCTATTTGGCTAGGAGTTGGTCCTAACACTGATCGTTATTGCCACAACAGTTACAGGATGCTGAATAACGATCTGAGAAACGCTGAGATAGCAAGGTAGTCAGTACTGTGGTGAAATGGCATTCATGGTACGAGGACACCAAATCAAATACTGTCCACCCGCCAGTACTCCATCATATCTGCTGTTGCTGAAGTAGTGTTCAGCTCAGAAGTTCAGAGTCAGAACACTTGATGTGGCTCGCATGATGCCACCGAGCTGGCTTGCGGCGGTACGAAATTATATCGTATATGCGAACTAATCCATCATACTCTTCCCGTTTCTCAGAGAAGAGGCAGTCTTAGGGAGTGCCTTTCCTATCGCGCGAGTCAAGGAGCATTATTCGCATTCACTGTTGATGATCGATACCTTCGGAGTCAATGCTTAGCACATCGCAGTAGAACCTTACTGAGGCCGTGTCGTTCTACTCAGCATCGGGTTGATACACGGTGTGTCGAGGAAGCAATATTGAACACTTCACCTTGGATACCATAATATAGTAACAAATCGTCACTGTACCCCCGTGACAACTACTCATGCCATAGGAGATAGCCTCTCTCGAAATGCATTGACCCAACACCACTGATGAACTTAAGCCATTCAAAAATCGAGAAATAAACTATTCGTCTATGCGATCAACATAGATAACCCGGGTCATGATATAAGATAGTGGGCAAAAAGCTCGGCTTGGGAATAGCCACGGTTGCTCTATTCGGAGCATCCAGTGAAGTTACTATGAAGTGATGAAAACCTTCTTGCCGAGATGATAACGACAATTCGGGCAAGTGTGTTTGGCCTCTTGACAGGCATCACAGCAGAAAGGCAACCAGAATAGCGGCCAAAATAATAAACACAGCAGACCACAGCAGATGTAAGTACCTAAGCTATGCATGTCTACAGGGGAGAGTTGAAGACCTTACCGCATTGAGATTCGTGCTCAACCCTTGAGATGATCTTATTCTTGCAGTTTGGGCACTCTAGGGACACCGGATCATGACCGAAATCTGGCATATAAACCATAGCGACAGGAGGCACATCCACAGGATGTCCGATCATGGCACTCTGCGCGACGGGCTGGGGGTCAGATGTTTTCGTTTCCTCGTTGCTCATTACAAATGAGTTAATACTGAGAGGCATGGGATTCATTATAAGGGCACGATTATGAGGAACCAATAGTAAACAAAGATGTGGCTATTGAGCACACGATAACCAACCAAACACGAGCATCCAACACTTCACCAAGCGGCCACCGAGCAGCGATAAGTCTCGGGTGGACAATGCCTCTCACCTTGTTACTTCGAACGAGCGCGTCACGATCTATACCCGCACAGTGTGCACACACGTGCAGAGTCTGCACGTATGCGCAGTAACCACAGTGCATGTGTGGTGATGGTCATCATCAGCCTGTCAACGACAGGGGTCCATGCAACATGGCGACTACGCTGTAAACGTCTAAGCAATAACCCAGGTAGGCTGAGGGATGTGAACAATAGGAGAGTTACTATCAAGCATATCAGTACCGCTTGGTGTGTTAAGCTTAGGTTATGGAATTAAATCGTCAATAGGGACAGGTGAGTCTAATAAGATCATCCCCTATGACTAGGAGGCTGCATTAAGGTGCTGACCCCCGATATAGTGCTCATCTGCGGGTATGGTGATTGATGAGGATATCAATCTACGATCGATAGTGGGGGGGGGGGGCGCTGGAATAGCCGTTGGGCTCTCCCAGAAGGGAGGAGTGGGTAAGATATTGTCTCCACAGCGATATCATTACCGTTACCGTGAAAAATCAAGGAGAGTTATCTTGGGCCAGTTTGAATTTAGAAAATATATCAAAGTTTCTGGTGGTATCTGCCACAGCGTGCCTAGTTCGAAAGTCTAGTATCGCCTGACGACGTATCTGATGATGACGACATATGTCCTACAACTACCTCTACATCGTAGCTTTTGGAGGAGGAGATCAAGTGAAGGTATGCCCACACTCTAGTAGGGTGACTCTACATCTCAGCTTCTATATCCGATCATGGTAATGCACTACATATACTTGCACGCATGTACATGCAAGATACTACTAACACACCTCGAGACTGCTGCTGCTGCTGTTGGCGTCGATCAGCCCTCTTCTTCGCAATCGTTTTGTCAAGAGCTTGGGATAACTCCAATTTGCTGGAGTAGAAGAATAGATAAGTATCGCTAGAATGAGCAATATCGGTATTAAGTATCGTTCATTGGATGCTCCACCTCTAGCAGGGCAATATTGTATCGTAAACACTTATGATAGATATCAGGTAACAGTAGGGTGGACAAATCGACCACAAGTTCATACATATACCGAGTAGCTTCTGAGACAATTGTTCGAACCTTTGCTTAGACATCATTATTGAGTATCAATAAACCATTGTGTCGGTAAACTAGCTAAATCTACAAGATAGATAACCTCTTCCAACCTGGAGGAGCACTTCATAACCATACCGATGACCCTGGACTTTGAGTAAGTGATGAGAAGTAGCATATCTTCTATTACCATCCATTATAAATACTCAGGCACGTTGCCTTAGTACCCGTCGATATGCTTATCCTCCACATTTCATGGTAGGATAGTACGTTGATAGTAATACTCTCCCACAGTCCAAGATCTATGTCCTGGCTTGCGAAGGAAGAATTGGTCGTTGGCATAGGCGAGGAGGGCGGCACTGGGAACAACCTTTATCATAACGGGTCGTCACCTCTTCTCGCGGCACTGACTCTATCATAACCGTCTGGTCCATCCGGCTAACTCATCATACCCCAATCATCTACCCATGAGGTACAACCTTCCACCGGCCTCCAGTACTGATCATACCCTTGCTGACCCCTAAGGGTCTACGCATCTACACATAACGATAGCCTTCGATGCTTGTTCCAGTGGTCACTACATAACCACAGTTCCTCTTCGAGCATACCTTCGTCTATGTCCTCTTTCTATCAGCACTACTGTTGTATAGGAATGGACAAGGTTCGAGTGTATTAAGGTATGCAGCAGGAATATCCCGTCAGGCAACAACAGTCCCTCTACCCGCAAGTAACAGGTACTCCCCTTAACGCAGCTACGTAGACTCTTTTCGTGTCCCCGTCCCGACGCACCGATCAATTTTAAAGGCGCTCCAAGTTTACAAGTTAACAAGAATTCCAATTCGGCCTTTCAACAGCTGCTGTACTACCACTCATATGACAAACCTGTATAGGGTCGAGCATTGACATTGACTAGGTTATCACTCCATACATCAGTTTCGCCCCTTTATATCATGGGATGCATACAGTTCGTAGCCGAAGATGAGATAGTAGTGGTAGAACGGTTTGGTAAATTCGACAGACTAGCCCTACCTGGCTGCCTCTGTCTTCCTCTCCCCTGCATTTGCACTAGTGCTGGCTCGGTCAGTGTACGTGTACGACAGCTTAATGTATGATGTGGTACTATAGTTAGGTGGTAAGTTCATTCACAATAGGTACATGTTGAGACCAAGACTAAGGACAATGTATTCGTCACTCTAGTCGTAGCTGTGATGTATGAAGCTCTTCGTGACAGAGTGTAAATATCCTATTACTATTATTGAATTATCCTTGGTCTCAGTTATGAAGCTTTCTATAAGCTCACTAATCCTGGTACACAGATCAACTCCTATGTATTCGATGCAGTGAGAGCTTCTGTGCCATTGCTTAATCTTGATGAACTATTTGAGGAGAAGATAAGGATAGCCCATCAAGTGAAGGAACAGCTGAGAAGTATGATGTGGAAAAGGAGTGGTATGGGCATATGAACTTGTCTCAGACCTCATGGACGACTTTGGGTTCCGGATTCAAGAGGCTTTGGTAGTTGACATTGAGCCCGATACCAAGGTGAAGTACAGCAGAATATAGTCATAAATCCAGGTCTATGCTCCAGGTGAAGGCAGCAATGAATGAGATCAATGCAAACCGTAGACTACGTATTGCATCCCAAGAGAAGGCAGAAGCAGACAAGATAGTCACAGTTAAAAAGGCCGAGGCAGAAGCGGAGAGTATATACACACTACAGAATCTTATGCCAAGTTTTATCAGGTAAATTCCTACAGGGAGAAGGCATAGCTCGTCAACGTCGTGCTATCGTCGATGGCCTGCGTGGATCTGTCAGTGAGTTCAGCTCGAGGGTTGAAGGTGTTGGTCCTAAGGACGTATGAGAATATAGTAGGTCGTTTGGAAAGGGTCCTTTGAGCAGGTCCTTGAATTGGTACTCATAACGCAGTATTTCGATACGTTGAAGGATGTTGGCACCTCATCGGAGGCATCCACGTTGTTCCTGCCGCATAATCCAGGCTCCTTGGCAGACCTCAGTGCAGAGCTAAGGAGAGGTTTTACTGCTCGATAGGGGAGAAGAGGTGTGGTATCCCACGTATGTGCATGCAATGAAGCGGCGACATGTCTGTGTATAATTGAGGTTGTGTTGGTAAGGTTGGGTATATCTAGGTAGGAGTGTGATAGATATGGTCAGGATCATGGTGACGATTGACTTCTGGGTGGAATTATCCATGGCCATTTAAGTGGTAGTGCGGTGTAGTGTAGCTTAGGAACATTGACGTAAAGGTGAGGAGATGGGCCATGTTTGATGAGGCGCCTCGAGTACGATCGCCGACCACACAGTGGTGGCCAATTGTTCGCCCCTGCCCCTGATTTTGGTACACTGCCAATATCACGTATTCAAGTTAGGAAGTCTGCCAAGCCCAGTACTACTGGGAAAATCCTGGTATAACGCGGGCACTTATGTAGATATTCTAAATAGAGGAGTATTGTAGGTCGTCGACCATGCTGCTCCTATTTTAGTATTCTGCTAACTACCTACCACCGACACCGTGTTTTGGGTACAATCGTTCATGCTGGAGTTATCACATAGAATATAGAAGGAGTTATCTCATTGGTTTATCCCTTGTAAATATCTATATCGTTCCCGAGCCGCCTCTCGACCTCATTCATATCACCAAGCGACACTTCTCCTCTGCTTAGGGGTCGCCTTAGCCGGGGCTAATCGTATTAATCAATAGAGGACGCTTTTGTAAAGTAACGGTTAGCTCTCTCCGCGTTATTATTCGGAGTCACCTTTCCGACCATAAACTCTTAGGGAATTCGTAGGTGGGAAGAGAGTTGAATAATATCGTGTCGGATTGAGCCACCCTAGGCTAAGGAATTGCGTACTGTTTTGTCTCCTTCATACCTGATCTGATCCCAGGTGTTGACTTAGAGTTCATCGACGGGCAGAGCGGGTGATCGGTACAGTCATATCTGTGTAGTTATATTCCTATCCGCTATGGCTCGTGGTCAACAGAAAGCAGAATCGCAAAGAAAGAATGCTCTAAAGAAAGCTAAGGACGCCCATAAGGGTAGTCGCCTATCCTACCCCTATAGTCTGTTGTAGTATATTCCACAGGTAGCCAATTGGCCGGTCAAAAGGCAGCTCTCAAGATGACATGCCCTCAATGCAAGGTAGCAGGATTACAGCAATACTATCCACACATGTATTGTCAGTTACAAATGACCAACTATAAAGTCCTAACGCAACACTTTGAGTCAAAGCATCCTAAGGAGAGTTGCCCTCCGGAGAGCTCCTTCACGGCCTAAGCCCTTGTACAGTACTACTATTATTGTTACTGCTAGTTATCTAGTTTCTTCACAACATACCACATCAGTCATTGGATTTAGTTTGTTATCATATAGAGTTGTAATGCAGTTAGCTCATGCCGGTGAGATAGTATCGGACTTGGATTCCAGGTGTTGAGGGTCGGTACGCCTTCCTTATCTCCCATTGAGGGAACGCCACAACTAGAGGACTTGTAGGAAGAACTTATCTATCAATATAATCAATAGTAGGCTCACTTGACGCTAGGCTAAAATATGCACTGCGACACGGAGCCATAGCCAAGGAGACAACTGGCACAGAAACACACACAATACTTCGTTTTAGGATGCAATCATCCCTCTACACGCCCCCCTCGCACAACACCTGTGCGACACTTCTTCCTTCTGGGCAATCGGGACAACTTTGGCGGACAAGTTTCATCAGAGAACTCCCACTGTTCCTCTTCCAGGGTCAGCCATTCTGGCTCGGTACCATCATCCCAAGTGACCAGGCAACGACCACGAGGATCCTCACGAGACATCACAGTCTCATCACGACGAATCGTTCCAGTATAAAGGTCGCTATCGCCGTTAATATCAGCAATT